CTTGCACTTCCAACATTCGTTATTCACCTTTTTATACATTTTTGATATTTTATCTGGGGATAGGTACCATCTATAAAACATTTTGTACCAATTTTCTTTTAACCCTTGTGATGTGGTGTATTTCACTCCTGTTTTCCACATCTTCTCCCATTGACTCATTTGTATTGGGTGTCCTATTCTTTTGCCCATCTTATCATGACATCTTTAACAACCTCTTCCTCCATCCGTATTTGTAAGATTTTTTTGTATAATAACCCTATTACTTTTTTTATTTTTATCCAACAAAATTTCTTCTATTTCCATTTTTTTCCTGCTATTCCTCGATTTTTCATATCCAATATAACTTTCTCATAAATTTGCCTATATTGAAACCACCCTAATTTAAATCCTTAATTTTCCAGAATTTGCTGTTTTGCTATCATAACCTTCCCTTTTTGTCTTTCTATCAAATCTTTATATGTAACCCAATTATCATCCCTATCCATCTCTTTTCTATAAAATGCTTCTTGTGGGGATAACCACTTAGGGGTCTTATCCATTATTCTACTCTTATATTTATTCCAAATTCTCAACAAGGTTTTCCTTATAATATGGTTATTAAAAGCCTGATTTGTTTTTTCCTTGTCATACGCCAAATAGGCATGCAAACCAAATTTTATTCCTTCTCCCTCTAGTTCCAAAAGCCTCTTATTTTCTAGTTTTAACCAGTCTTTTATCCAATTCAACACACTGGCTTTGAAATAAATACTTAAGTCTGGCAAAGCCAAGCCTCCTCTTTCTTGTGCATCTTGTAGTACCTTTAATCTAACCCTTGGTTTTTCCCCCTGCTATATAAACTTAGATAAATCTCTATGCCAATTATCAAAAACAATCTTACTGTTTTTAATGGGTAAAGCTAGAAACATAAATAACATTTTTGGTAGAACTGATATTTTGATTGCAGATATCCTGCCTAATAACGACAATTTTAACCTTCCCCAATTCATGAAATCTTTTTTTTAATTTCTTTCCATATTTTATCATAATTATTATTAAATAATT